GGAAGCAAAGGGGTGGTGTGCGGTGGAAGCAAAGGGGCGGTGTGCGGTGGAAGCAAAGGGGTGGTGTGCGGTGGAAGAAAAGGGGCGGTGTGCGGTGGAAGCAAAGGGGTGGTGTGCGGTGGAAGCAAAGGGGCGGTGTGCGGTGGAAGCAAAGGGGTGGTGTGCGGTGGAAGCAAAGGGGCGGTGTGCGGTGGAAGCAAAGGGGCGGTGTGCGGTGGAAGCAAAGGGGTGGTGTGCGGTGGAAGCAAAGGGGCGGTGTGCGGTGGAAGCAAAGGGGCGGTGTGCGGTGGAAGCAAAGGGGTGGTGTGCGGTGGAAGCAAAGGGGCGGTGTGCGGTGGAAGCAAAGGGGTGGTGTGCGGTGGAAGCAAAGGGGTGGTGTGCGGTGGAAGCAAAGGGGTGGTGTGCGGTGGAAGCAAAGGGGTGGTGTGCGGTGGAAGCAAAGGGGTGGTGTGCGGTGGAAGCAAAGGGTGGTGTGCAGTGGAGCGGTGGAGCGGTGGAGCAGATGTCAAGTGATGGATGGCAGGGTGAACGGCAGAGGGGTGAGAGGAGGGAAGGGTGAGGGGGTTAAGAGAAGTGGTTAGGGTAGGGGAGACTGGGGGTTGAGTGGGGGTTGTTGGAGAGAGGAGAGGTTGGGGAGAGAGCGCACCTTGCAGGGAGATGGTGGTATCGGCATTGCTGTAGAGTGCTTTGCGCTCCCCTAATAGCCCAGCCAGGCGTGTCAACGTCTGGGCATGGGGTCAGGAGGGGGAATGGGCATAGCAAGGGAGGTGAGAATGAGCATGTGCAGGGAAAGGGCAGGAAATGAGAGAAAACAACGGCTGTTCAGCAATCCAGTTAGCAACCACTTGAATTGCACGGGTGCTCCCCTCTAGGGATGAGCACACTGTCGAGCCGAGCCGGCTCGATTCGAGCAGCGACGAGCCACCCCTAGCCTCAAGCCGAGCCGAGCCGAGCCGAGCCTGGACATTGGCCGGCTCGAGGCTCGTCAAATGAGGGCGAGCTGGGCGAACCACCGACGAGCCTAAGGTGGCTCGCCGACGAGCCGAGCCGGCTCGTGCCTCGTCCACATTTTGACTGTTTTTAGATGTGCACCTATCTTAATGTTGAGCCGGTTTTCCAATTTTTTGCAATGTCTACCCCCATGATTATGCATTACCATCGCGATCTTAATGCATTGAAGGGATTTAAGTCGCGACTACATCTTAACCCCGAACTGCTAAAGAGGAACTAATGTCGACTGCATTGGGGGGATGCAGCGATCTGATGGAGGTGGTTGACTGTGGACACATAAACAGATTTGGTGTTGTGGAAGGCGAATACAAAATAAAGGGGTTCGCAATTCTCCGTTGTAAACCCCGAAATTGCAGAACCCAAAGTTTGTCAATAAGTAGATCTCACGAGCCGGGTTGCGGCTCGTCGCCGAGCCACAGGCTCGACGAGCCTTGTCCGGCTCGTCGTTATGCAATGCCGAGCCGACGAGCCGGACATTGGCTCGCCGAGCCGGCTCGACTCGACCGTGCCGAGCCGAAATCCTCGAAATCGTCGGCTTGTCAAATGGACGAGACGAGCCGAACCGAGCCGAGCCGCGGCTCGAACGTTTGCTCATGCCTACTCCCCTCACCTGTAGCAGGACCCCTTGCTTCCACGTCCTCAGACAGTCAGGGTGAACAGGCTTCCACTGTTGCAGTGCCAGTGCCAGCACAGCCATGCAGAGCCCCACGAAAGAAACGCTCACCTTGCTGTACTCATCGCTTTCATGCGCTGCCTGCTGCTCTCCACCCCCACTTCCATGGGTGCAACGGGCGCACGCACAGCAGAGCTCTACCATTGCAGCGCCAAAGCCACTGCCAAGCCATCGCCCTGCGGTGAACGCTCACCTTGTGGTACTCATCGCTCACCTTCCTTGTGGTAACTCACTGCTCACCTGGTACTCATCGCTCACCTTGTGGTACTCATCGCTCACCTTGTGGTACTCATCGCTCACCTTGTGGTACTCATCGCTCACCTTGTGGTACTCATCGCTCACCTTGTGGTACTCATCGCTCACCTTGTGGTACTCATCGCTCACCTTGTGGTACTCATCGCTCACCTTGTGGTACTCATCGCTCACCTTGTGGTACTCATCGCTCACCTTGTGGTACTCATCGCTCACCTTGTGGTACTCATCGCTCACCTTGTGGTACTCATCGCTCACCTTGTGGTACTCATCGCTCACCTTGTGGTACTCATCGCTCACCTTGTGGTACTCATCGCTCACCTTGTGGTACTCATCGCTCACCTTGTGGTACTCATCGCTCACCTTGTGGTACTCATCGCTCACCTTGTGGTACTCATCGCTCACCTTGTGGTACTCATCGCTCACCTTGTGGTACTCATCGCTCACCTTGTGGTACTCATCGCTCACCTTGTGGTACTCATCGCTCACCTTGTGGTACTCATCGCTCACCTTGTGGTACTCATCGCTCACCTTGTGGTACTCATCGCTCACCTTGTGGTACTCATCGCTCACCTTGTGGTACTCATCGCTCACCTTGTGGTACTCATCGCTCACCTTGTGGTACTCATCGCTCACCTTGTGGTACTCATCGCTCACCTTGTGGTACTCATCGCTCACCTTGTGGTACTCATCGCTCACCTTGTGGTACTCATCGCTCACCCTGTGGTACTCATCGCTCACCTTGTGGTACTCATCGCTCACCTTGTGGTACTCATCGCTCACCTTGTGGTACTCATCGCTCACCTTGTGGTACTCATCGCTCACCTTGTGGTACTCATCGCTCACCTTGTGGTACTCATCGCTCACCTTGTGGTACTCATCGCTCACCTTGTGGTACTCATCGCTCACCTTGTGGTACTCATCGCTCACCTTGTGGTACTCATCGCTCACCTTGTGGTACTCATCGCTCTCATGCGCTGCCTGCTCCTGCTCGCCCTCCCCCTGCGTGGCTTGCGAGAGCAGCGGGCGCACAGCCGTGCCCACCGCCACGACCCGCTCTGCCAGATACTCCACGGGCACGTCCAGATGCACTGTCACCCCGTGCGACAGATAGCTCCTGGTGGGCTCGTTCAAGGGGGGGGGAGGAGGGGGGGGGGGGGGGGTTGGACGAGAGAGAGGTAAGCACGAGCCTGGCCTGGCTGGCAGGTGCTCCACGGGCACATCGAGATGCACTGTGACTCCGTGAGAGAGATAGCTCCTGGTGGGTGCATGGGGAGGGAGAGAGCAGGGATGAGAGAGGAACTCACGAGGCTACCACGAGGCTACCACGAGGCTACCACGAGGCACGACCCGAGCCTGGCTGTGAGGTGCTCTCCTCGGGCATGTGGAGGTGCGCCGTGACCCCGTGGGACAGGTAGCGCCTGCGGGGTTCATGGGGCGAGGAGAGAGCGGGGATGAGAGAGGAGAGGAGCCACGAAACTACAGTGGCCGCCCGCTGCTCCATGGGTACTTTGAGATGCACTGTGACCCCGCGGGAGAGATAGCTCCTGGTGGGTGGAACGGGGGCGAGGGATGTGATGAGAGGGCGTTGAAGGTGCAATCTGATGCATGCGCCACTCCCCTCCAGTCCATACCAACTCAATCTGCTCCATGCCACTCCACCACACTTCGTGCAAAGTGAATCGCACCACTGCACTGATGGCAATTGGATTGCAAGCAAGCACAAGAGAAGCAAAGCAACAAGTGCCATTGAAAGCAAAGCAACAAGGGCCATTGGAAGCAAAGCAACAAGGGCCATTGGAAGCAAAGCAACAAGGGCCATTGGAAGCAAGTGGGCAGCATATGGAACTGACCAGTTGACGGGGCGCGTGACAGCCCCCCCTCCCGTGGCCACCACGAGGCGACCCATGGACGACAGCTCTGCTAGCACTCGCGTCTGTGCCGGGGGTGGGGGTGGGGGACGCGACGAGGAGTGGAGGGAACGGGATGGGAGGGGACGGAGTGGAGGAGGGGAGAGGAGGGAAGGGGAGGGGAGGGGAGAGGAGGGGAGGGGGGATGGTGAGGGGGGAAGACAAGGTGCATGTGGAGGCGTGGACCCATGGGCAATGGGCAATGGGCAATGGGCAATGGGCAATGGGCAATGGGCAATGGGCAATGGGCAATGGGCAATGGGTTGGCCGCACTTAAACGTGGAAGGGGGCCAAGGCGGGCAAGAAGACGACCCCAGCAGCATGTCCCAGAGGCGAGAAACGTTGCGGGGGGAATTCGCTTTGCAGATACAAGCTGCACTGCTCGGCCACTCAGAGAAAGGTTCACGGTGTGCTTCGTATCACGGAAAGAGCCACCTTGTCACGTTCGCTTAGCTGGCTGGCAAACACAGGCTCGCCTGGTAACCACGTAACACACCTGCTCCTACGTGACATGAAATGAATAGGTCCTCTCCCTCCTGTACGCCCTCTCCCTTCCCTACCCTCCCTTCCCCCCTCTCCCTCCCCCCCTCTCCCTTCCCCCCTCTCCCTCCCCCCCTCTCCCTTCCCCCCTCTCCCTTCCCCCATCTCCCTTCTCCCCTCTCCCTTCCCCCCTCTCCCTTCCCCCCTCTCCCTTCTCCCCTCTCCCTTTCCCCCTCTCCCTTCCCCCCTCTCCCTTCCCCCCTCTCCCTTCCCCCCTCTCCCTTCTCCCCTCTCCCTTTCCCCCTCTCCCTTCTCCCCTCTCCCTTCCCCCCTCTCCCTCCCGCCCTCTCACTTCCCCCCTCTCCCTTCCCCCCTCTCCATTCCCCACCCTCCCTTCCCCCCTCGCCCTTCCCCCAAATCTCTTCCCCCCTCTCCCTTCCCTCCCCTCCACTTTCTTCCCCCTCTCCCTTCTCCCCCCCCTCTCCCCACTCCCTTCCCCCCACTCTCCTCCCCCCTCTCCCTTCCCCCACCCTCCTCTCCCTCCCCCCACCCTACTCTCCCTTCCCCCCGCTCCGTCCCCCCTCTCCCGCCCACGCGCCGCACCTCAATCGCGCGGAACTCCTCCTCGCCATTCTCTGTGAAGATCTGCGCCACCGACGCCCCCCCTGCCGCCGCCTCCAGCATTGTGGGGGGGGTTGAGGAGAGGATGCGAGGGACGGGAGACTTTTTCGTCGACCAAAAAAAGGTGCCGTGTGCCATTGTAACGAGGTGAGTTTTGAGTCGGAGAGAGAATGCGAGCGGGAGAGGGAGGATGCGAGGGAGAGAGAGACGGTGCGAGGGAGGGGTGGCCGGGAAAGGCGGACGGAAGGCATGGGGAGGGGGAGGGACAGGGAGATGTTGAAGAGAAGATAAGGAGATGATAAGGAGATGATAAGGAGATGATAAGGAGATGACAACGAGATGTTAAGGAGATGGTAACGAAGGAGGGAGCACGGGAGGGAGGAAGGGAGGGAGGAAGGGAGGGAGGAAGGGAGGGAGGAAGGGAGAGAGGGAGGGAAGAAGGGAGAGGGGGGGGGGAATGGAGGGATGCGGCACCTGTCGAAGAAGCAGTAGCCGAGAAGGTCAGCGAGGACTGTGCCCACGGTGGTCTTGCCACTGCCCATCATGCCTGCTCGCACCATCGCACATGCATGGGTGATGGGATGATGCACGCATGGGTGATGGGATGCACGCATGGGTGAGTGGTATGTGCATAAGAGACATGGCATATGGAGTGACGTGACAAAGAAGGTGTGGTCTGGAGCGATGCTATATGGAGTGCCGCGGAAGACGGTGATAGGCAAAGAAGAGGGGGACGAGGCAAAGAAGAGGGGGACGAGGCAAAGAAGAGGGGGACGAGGCAAAGAAGAGGGTGGATGACGAGGCAAAGAAGAGGGTGGGTGACGAGGCAAAGAAGAGGGTGGGTGACGCAGTAGCTGGCGTGGCACGCACCGACGAGGAAGATGCTGGTGCCCTTCAGATCACCCACCAGTGAGCGCGCCTTCTCCTGCTCGCATGCCACACACAGAGAGAGGCAGGCAGAGCATGGCACACACAGAGAGAGGCAGGCAGAGCATGGCACACACAGAGAGAGGCAGAGCATGGCACACACAGAGAGAGGCAGGCAGAGCATGGCACACACAGAGAGAGGCAGGCAGAGCATGGCACACACAGAGAGAGGCAGAGCATGGCACACACAGAGAGAGGCAGGCAGAGCATGGCACACACAGAGAGAGGCAGGCAGAGCATGGCACACACAAAGAGAGGCAGGCAGAGCATGGCACACACCTATGTTGCACCTGACGCCCTCCAGGTGCAGCGTCCGGCGTGCGGACGCCAACGTCCGGACGCTGGACGCGTCTAACAGGTTTGACGCTGGACGCTGGGGATTTTTTTTCGGGCAGCCCGAAAAAAAATCCAGCTCACGAAATTGACGCGCGACCAGAAATGTGATGAAATCGACAACATTGGGTTGCGTTTTTGCCCCAAAACGAAACCCACATTCAATCCCCCCCAACACATTTTCACCCCTCCATACCTCCCAATCCCAACCTGGATGATCCAGATCTGAACCGAGAAAGCAGATCAAGGTCGAGATTACTCACTTCTCGATCTCTCGTCGTTCCCTAGCTATCTCAACGCTTGAATCCGCCAGTCGCGCTAGTAATCTCCCTGTTTCAGTTTAAGCTACGGCGATTAGGTTTCAATGTCGTCCCCTAGTCCCGCGGATGAATCAGATAGTGGCAACGCGTCTGGATTTTCTGGAATTTATGGAAGTTTTGGTGAAAATGTCATTTGGTGCATCATAATTCCTGTTTTGCCTTACTACCGAAGGTTTTTTCCCCCCTGCCCGGGAAAATATTTTGCCCTGCCCGGACGAGCGTCAAGCGGACGTCCAGGGGAGAGGCACCCGGGCGTCCGGCGTCTGGACGCCCCGTCCAGACGCTGGCGTCAAAAACGCTGGACGCGTCAGGCGCAACATAGGCACACACAGAGAGAGGCAGAGCATGGCATGGCATGGCACACAGGTCGCTGAGCCAACACCCTTTTAGCATCCGAGCACACCGCGGCACTGCGCGGCATGGCAGCGCAGTGAGCCGCATGTGCCATGTGGCACGGACTGGCCTGGCCGACGCAGTAGATGATGATTGGCCATGGCAGAATCGGGATTGTGATTTGCAGGCAGTTACCACGTGGAGAACGGGGCAGTGTCACGTGGAGAACGGGGCAGTGTCACGTGGAGAACGGGGCAGTGTCACGTGGAGAACGGGGCAGTGTCACGTGGAGAACGGGGCAGTGCCACGTGGAGAACGGGGCAGTGTCACGTGGAGAACGGGGCAGTGTCACGTGGAGAACGGGGCAGTGTCACGTGGAGAACGGGGCAGTGCCACGTGGAGAACGGGGCAGTGCCACGTGGAGAACGGGGCAGTGCCACGTGGAGAACGGGGCAGTGCCACGTGGAGAACGGGGCAGTGCCACGTGGAGAACGGGGCAGTGCCACGTGGAGAACGGGGCAGTGCCACGTGGAGAACGGGGCAGTGCCACGTGGAGAACGGGGCAGTGCCACGTGGAGAACGGGGCAGTGCCACGTGGAGAACGGGGCAGTGCCACGTGGAGAACGGGGCAGTGCCACGTGGAGAACGGGGCAGTGCCACGTGGAGAACGGGGCAGTGCCACGTGGAGAACGGGGCAGTGCCACGTGGAGAACGGGGCAGTGCCACGTGGAGAACGGGGCAGTGCCACGTGGAGAACGGGGCAGTGCCACGTGGAGAACGGGCAGTGCCAGCGTTACAAGTGCCAGCAGCAGTGCCATGACTATGCAGTGCCATGACTATGCAGTGCCATGACTATGCAGTGCCATGACTATGCAGTGCCATGACTATGCAGTGCCATGACTATGCAGTGCCATGACTATGCAGTGCCATGACTATGCAGTGCCATGACTATGCAGTGCCATGACTATGCAGTGCCATGACTATGCAGTGCCATGACTATGCAGTGCCATGACTATGCAGTGCCATGACTATGCATTGCCATGACTATGCAGTGCCATGACTATGCAGTGCCATGACTATGCATTGCCATGACTATGCAGTGCCATGACTATGCAGTGCCATGACTATGCAGTGCCATGACTATGCAGTGCCATGACTATGCAGTGCCATGACTATGCAGTGCCATGACTATGCAGTGCCATGACTATGCAGTGCCATGACTATGCAGTGCCATGACTATGCAGTGCCATGACTATGCATTGCCATGACTATGCAGTGCCATGACTATGCAGTGCCATGACTATGCAGTGCCATGACTATGCAGTGCCATGACTATGCATTGCCATGACTATGCAGTGCCATGACTATGCAGTGCCATGACTATGCATTGCCATGACTATGCAGTGCCATGACTATGCAGTGCCATGACTATGCAGTGCCATGACTATGCAGTGCCATGACTATGCAGTGCCATGACTATGCAGTGCCATGACTATGCATTGCCATGACTATGCAGTGCCATGACTATGCAGTGCCATGACTATGCATTGCCATGACTATGCAGTGCCATGACTATGCAGTGCCATGACTATGCATTGCCATGACTATGCAGTGCCATGACTATGCAGTGCCATGACTATGCATTGCCATGACTATGCAGTGCCATGACTATGCAGTGCCATGACTATGCAGTGCCATGACTATGCATTGCCATGACTATTCAGTGCCATGACTATGCATTGCCATGACTATGCAGTGCCATGACTATGCAGTGCCATGACTATGCATTGCCATGACTATGCAGTGCCATGACTATGCAGTGCCATGACTATGCAGTGCCATGACTATGCATTGCCATGACTATGCAGTGCCATGACTATGCAGTGCCATGACTATGCAGTGCCATGACTATGCATTGCCATGACTATGCAGTGCCATGACTATGCAGTGCCATGACTATGCATTGCCATGACTATGCAGTGCCATGACTATGCAGTGCCATGACTATGCATTGCCATGACTATGCAGTGCCATGACTATGCAGTGCCATGACTATGCATTGCCATGACTATGCAGTGCCATGACTATGCAGTGCCATGACTATGCATTGCCATGACTATGCAGTGCCATGACTATGCAGTGCCATGACTATGCATTGCCATGACTATGCATTGCCATGACTATGCATTGCCATGACTATGCAGTGCCATGACTATGCATTGCCATGACTATGCATTGCCATGACTATGCATTGCCATGACTATGCAGTGCCATGACTATGCAGTGCCATGACTATGCATTGCCATGACTATGCATTGCCATGACTATGCATTGCCATGACTATGCATTGCCATGACTATGCAGTGCCATGACTATGCATTGCCATGACTATGCATTGCCATGACTATGCAGTGCCATGACTATGCATTGCCATGACTATGCATTGCCATGACTATGCATTGCCATGACTATGCAGTGCCATGACTATGCAGTGCCATGACTATGCAGTGCCATGACTATGCAGTGCCATGACTATGCAGTGCCATGACTATGCAGTGCCATGACTATGCAGTGCCATGACTATGCAGTGCCATGACTATGCATTGCCATGACTATGCAGTGCCATGACTATGCAGTGCCATGACTATGCATTGCCATGACTATGCAGTGCCATGACTATGCAGTGCCATGACTATGCAGTGCCATGACTATGCATTGCCATGACTATGCAGTGCCATGACTATGCAGTGCCATGAATATGCATTGCCATGACTATGCAGTGCCATGACTATGCATTGCCATGACTATGCATTGCCATGACTATGCATTGCCATGACTATGCATTGCCATGACTATGCAGTGCCATGACTATGCATTGCCATGACTATGCATTGCCATGACTATGCAGTGCCATGACTATGCATTGCCATGACTATGCATTGCCATGACTATGCAGTGCCATGACTATGCAGTGCCATGACTATGCAGTGCCATGACTATGCATTGCCATGACTATGCAGTGCCATGACTATGCAGTGCCATGACTATGCATTGCCATGACTATGCAGTGCCATGACTATGCATTGCCATGACTATGCATTGCCATGACTATGCATTGCCATGACTATGCATTGCCATGACTATGCATTGCCATGACTATGCATTGCCATGACTATGCATTGCCATGACTATGCATTGCCATGACTATGCAGTGCCATGACTATGCATTGCCATGACTATGCATTGCCATGACTATGCAGTGCCATGACTATGCATTGCCATGACTATGCATTGCCATGACTATGCATTGCCATGACTATGCATTCCGCCACTGCCTGCGCACTGCGCATGTTCGCACCACCACGCCGGTGCAAAGGGCGATCCCAAGGTCCTCACACTCTCACCTGTGCCGCTGCTCGCTCCTTCGCTTCCTTCGGTACGTCCTGCGGCGATGTCGCATCGTCGCCTGCGATGCACCAGGTTGAGGGTTTAAGCGAAAGTGGAAAGAACGGGCGAAGCGGCGACGAAGCAAGGCGAGGAGGCAGGGCACGGAAGAAAAGGGTCGAGCGAATATGAATCGTTGTCGGAAAGGGATAGAGAGCGACGAGCTAAACGGGGCCTAAAGCAAACCCAGTGACCGCCGGTCTGATTCACCCTGGTCCGTCGAAGCGCGTTTGCCACCCTCACCTGTGCTGGCTCGGGTTCGCAGGCGCCATGCGCGGTGCTTGTGCGACTCCTGCCGCGCGGACGGCCTCGCTGCGCTGGCTAGCGCGAAGGCATCGAGGTGCGCCGCAAGGCGCGCGTCCCGCGGAAATGCGCGCGCGGTGGCGACTTGCGAGATGTGCGACACATGCGAGGTGCGGCTTGCAGTCGCACGATCGAGGGAAAGGATTGCTGGCGACGCGGATTGCACGGGCGCTGCGACAGCAAGCGCCATGTTCGCAAGCGGCGAGGGTATGTGCTTGTCGAGATGAGCAGAGGTGGCAAGAGAAAGGTAAGAAGGAAATAAAGCAAACTTGTAAGCATGTTTTCCATTTTCCAGTTTCTACAGTTCGCAAGTCATTTGAATTTTGAGCACGTCACTCGACAAGGGTCATTGGTGGAAATGGCATTTTGTTTTTTAGGCCACGACCATGTTGTCGTCTTGTTTGTCACCTGAACTGACATGTCGTTTTGATTCAGAAACTTGTAGCCCACTCGGGTTTATGAGACGAACTTATGTCAATCTTTGTGCCACACGACAGACTGAGGTTCAAATATTGAAGGGACAACCATGCGTCCATTTGTCTTGCGAAAGGCGCCCCCAACCCAAAGCAGCCCCCTCTTTGGTCACCCAACTGTCAAAGGCCGCGATTTTGTGAAACCCACCGTGTGCCGCACGATGTGGTACGAACTCAGACCTGCACAGCGCAAGATTTCGTCACTTCTCGTCACGTCTGCGACGTTTATGTGGTCGACCATACAGCGGTCTATGGAACAAGCACTGGTTGCGTCGCGCACGAACCGGGTTGACGAGATTTGACAGACGACGGCCAATCACCGTGGCTCTTCCCGCCGCCAATCGCGCCTCCGCGAATCTCGCTACTGCCCGTACCAACAAATCGGAGAATGTATGAGGAGCCGTGAGCATATTATGTAATTCTCCTACGAATGACTGGCGCCTGAACCCATTGACGCCGAGCAATGCCCTCTAGGAGTCACTCTCTCGTCTGACGTCAGCGAATGGTTGTATGGTAACTGACGTCAGGAATGGACGCGAGGAGGCACTTTCCCAGAGCCAGGCCGACACACTCACGCGGAGTTTCCGGTGCCACGCGATGGATTGTTACCGCCGCGACGAGCTTCGCCTTTTCGCGAGCCACGCGACTAGGGTTGCTCTTCGCGATACCGACCCTGTTGCTGCTGCTCGTGGCGAACCGCACCTCCTTGCCCCATAGCGCCCTGCCACGTGGACCCGAGAATGTAGCAGCAGGCGAGGACACGTCGCACGGCGGAGGCGACGCGGTGCGACGAGAGACTCTTCTGTTGGCGGGCGACGAGAGATTAGCGCCGCCAGCACAGCCGTCCGTATCCGGCGCATCATCTGTAGCAGGGGGAGGAGGAGATATGGGAGAAGAAAGAGGTGCAACCATAGCAGGCGGTGCAGCAGCCGGCGTACTACCTGCAGTGGCATCTTCAGGGGAAGGCGAGAGCGTGGGAGCGAGGGTGGATGGATCGCTCGAGGACGCGCATGGCAGGGCGGAGGGAGAGGCCGAGGCGGGTGACGCTGGCTCCCAACAGCAGCAGGATGAGCAGCAAATGAAACGAGAAAGAAGCGAGTCCCCAGCAAGGAGCAGCAGCAGAAGGGACCGACTAGGCATCAGGTCTGGCCGCAGCACCAGTGACTCGCCTGCCACACACCGCAGCAACCACACGGCCACTACTGGCAGCAGCAGCCGCAGCAGCGGGCACAGTACGGAGCAATCCCGCAGCAGCTCGAGAGGCATGAGCAGTGCGGAGGAGGGCGGTGAGGACGCGTGCAGGGGGCGGCGCATCTTCATTCTGGACCTCCCCTCTAGGTTCAACCGCGACCTGCTCGCCCTCTGCCCCAACGTCTGCCCCCCCTCCGCCCACCTGCATCTGGCCGCCTGTCATGGCATGGGGCTCCCCATCCCCGCTGCAGCCAGCCCTGTACTCGATGTAAGACGCTCCCGTACTGGTTTCGAGGTTCCTGCGTTGTCATCTTCTTTTACCTGGACGAAGCGCAGGGATCAACGGGGTAAACGGAGGAGAAGAGACAGGAGGAAGGAGAGCAGCAGAGGCAGTTCGGGTTACAGCCAC